CAACAACAAATGGCATAGGGAATTGCATGGGGTGTGTGAACGTGGAGCCAACTGCCACCCTATAATACTTGGTAATCAGTAGCTTTTGAGAGAGAATTTCTTTTATTTTTGTCGAGTAATGTTTTGAGTTATAAATATTACTCCTCTCTTTCTTTGCTTTTTATTTTGTATTTATTAGGTTAAAAGATTAATTTGGTTCCGTACTTTCTGCTTTTAATTTATTTTGGTCTCTGTATTTTTTAAAGGTTCATTTTGGTGTCTATAAACTTCAAACTTTAGTTTATTTTGATACTTATATTTTCAAAATGTTCGTCTTTGGATTTTTAAAAAGTTAATTATCATTTTGGTCCCTTTATTTTATTTTTTAATCTATTTTTTCTAGGTCAATTTCAACCTAATATTATACTCAATATATTTCTTGAAATGTAGGCATAACTTTATATTAAAGAGTTTCTGTTATGTGTAGAATTTCTGTTAAAATTTTAAAATTTTAAAAATTGAGATCAAAATGGACATTTTTTAAAAGTATAAGAACCGACTAAAACGAACAATTTGAAAGTACAAGGACTAAAATCAACAAAGCTTAAAAGAACATTTTAAAAGTACACAATCAAAATGAGCCAAAACTGAAAGTACAAAGACCAAATTAATATTTTAAAATTTTGGTATCTCTCTTGCATTTGAAATGACATTGAACAAAAATTTCAATACAATTTATTATAATAATTCTTTCTCCTAATATTTGTTAAGAATCCCACATTTGAAAAGAGAGAGGACCTAACAATGGTTTATGATAGACATATACTACTCCTCTCATTGCCAATTGATTTTGAAATTGAACCTATGAATATTAACAAAAAGTTTCGTAATTAAATAGTGTGTCAGTTTAATTTGGTCATTATAGTTAAATGACAGTAATTTATTACTGACGTACCAAACACTCCAAACTACATTTTTCATGTTAAAATTGATATCTATCTATTACTATTTTTTTATAATGATATACAAGTGATTTAATAAAATGACAAAAGTGATTTTCTCAGTATCCAAAACATGCCCACACGTGTTGACAGGTCAATACTCATCTCTTACTAATTACCATTAATTTTTTTATAAGAGAAAAATACTCGGAGTCTTCGCTTTTTTTTTTAAATTATATTCTTGGAATCAATCAATTAACTTTTTTTTAGAAAACAATTAATTAACTTCTTAATCTCATCCTAAATAATTTTTTAAATTATATTCTTGGAATCAATTAATTAACTTTTTTTTTAGAAAACAATTAATTAACTTCTTAATCTCATCCTAAATAATAAAATATAAAGGTTAATTATTTAATTTAATTTCTTTAATCTTGTCCATAGATAAGGTAGATAAGACACCTATGACGTTGTTAAAGATAGTTGATTCAATTCCCACCTTAGGATTATTGTACTGAGAAGCTTTAGTTTGGTTAATTTCAATTATTTGTTTTTAAATTTAATTAAAATGGAACTTAATGAAAATTTTTTAATTAAAATTTAATTTAATTTAATTTTGGTAGAGGTTGTAGTAGTTGTTTGTGCTTCTCATTATTTCTATTTTTTCTTTCTTGTACCTTTTGACTAAAATTACCCGTTTGATAATTTTTTTTATTACTTAAATTTTTAATTAAAAAATGTAGCATTACGTTGTTGATTAGTAAGTTATTTAAAAAAATATTTATGATTGGTAAAGGTGAAATCACCTAGGAAACACGTATGTCATTGACAGTTGATCGAAAGCCACGTGTACAAACCTCACGAGGCGAGGGTTCAGAAACTAGTTTGGAAGACTTATGCGGTGAAATGGTCGAACTCAATTGTTTATCTTTGAACTCGGTTCCAACATTCGAATGGATAACCGTGCAACTGTCTTCCCCCTGCGTACTTTGAGCCTGAAATGTCGAAGACAACCATAAATTTGAATTCTTTACGCCGACAGTTATCTAAGCTCTTCTAAATACACTTAAGTTGAAACAGAAAGGTACACAAACTTGGATATTAGACTTTACTTGAGATTCATTAACTCTATCCCGTACTGAGAAACCTTCAGAGTGCTAACTCACTAGTAGAAATTTGGGTTCTCGTGATGGTTTTTAAAAGTCACAAATCCTTTCGTGATGTTTTTTACGACATTATCTATGCCCCCATCACGAAAGGTATTCGTGACATTTTTAAAAACGTCACGAAAAGTAACATTTATGAGAGGACGGAATGGAAGAAAAGTAATGAGTTTTTCAAAAAATTCTTCCTTAGTGACAAACTGTGCGCTCTCGCTTGCTTTATAAACGTTATAGGTTTTTGTGATGATTTATAAATGTTAAGAAAAATGATTTCATGACATTTTTAAACCATCACGAATTTTTCTTTTCGTGACGTTAAAAAAACATCACAGAAAATGAGTTATCGTGACGGAATTAGAATTTGTAACGGTTAAATACGTCATGAAACTAGAATTTGTATCTAAAAAATGTCACGTGACGGTCTTTTCATGAAGTTTTTAAACGTCACAAAAAATGTTTCATGACGTCTAAAAAGACATCATAAAAACGATTTCGTG